GACCTGCCTGCAGCTTCGAAGCTGTTTTAGTTCTCTTGCAACAGCCTCCTTGTGGGTTTCCCTGCCTTCACCCCTGCCGGCCTACGTCTGTGTCCAGTAGCCAGGCTGATCTCACAAGTCAGGTCATTTCATTCCTTTGCTTGACACCCTTCCATGGCTCCCAAGCTCACTTAGGAAATCTGGAGTCCCTGCAGGGGTCACCAGGCCCTGCTGTCTCTCTGACCTCATCTGCTACTGTTTCCCCTTCTCCCCCTCATTCCAGCAGCAAGACCTCTGGAATACTTCTCAAGCGGGAGCTTGCTCCCGCCCCAATGCCTCTGAACTTCCCTTTCCTCTTGCCTGGATACTGTTTCCCCAGATCTCTGCCTGGCTTCCTCTGCTCAGGCCTCTTCATCTGCGAGGCCATCTCTGACCACTGTGACAATACCCAGCCCTCCCTGTTATTCTCTGGTCCCTATCCTGGTTTATTTTTCTTGAAAGTCTTTATTCCAGACATATCATGTGTGTACTTGTTCTTGATCTGTTTCCCACAATTACAACGTTTGCTTCAGGAGAGCAGAGGCTTTTTGTTCACAGCCATGTTTACCCCAGATCTGAGCAACTGGTTGATGAATGAACGAACTACCTTCTGTCCTCATTCATCCACTTGTTCAGCTTAGTGCCTGCCCGGCGTTGGGCTCTGGGGGATCTAGTCATTAGAGGTAAGTCCCCACTCTCACACTCTCATGGAGCCTCTGGTTTAAAGGATCACAGGCAGTCAATAAGAATCACGGAAATAAATAAGCATTTGTGCAAACAGAGGTGTTACAAAAGAGAAGGACAGCACACGATGAGAACATAAAGCACGGGGACTTAACCCTCGTTGGATAAGCGAGAGAGGCTTTTCAGAGAAGGTGACATTTGAGCTGAGCCCTGAAACATGAGTGGGGGACTGGCCAAGGGAAGAGCCTTTCAAACAGTGGGAACAGCACGTGTGAAGGCGCTGAGGAAGGAGGCAGCGTCACACACGGGGGAAACATGGAGGGGACGTCGGTGTGGAAGCTCTAGTGATGGAGGGGAGAGGAGGGTGGGCCTGCTGGCCTCATTAAGGAGGCTGGAGTGCGTGCTCTGAGTGAGCAACAGCGAGTCAGGAAGGGTCTGCAGTTGGGCAGGGAGCTGAGACCACAAACCCTCTCTCCAGACTTCTTGGTCAAGTGATCTGTGGCCTCCTACTCTGCTCCAGCTGCTGATTCTGTGTCTTGTGCGGGCCCCTCCCTTCTCCTCACCTGTGCATGGGCCCCCTTGAGCTCAGCAAGCCCATCTCACCTGCAGCATGAGTACCAGGACCCAAGCTTCACTCGCTCAACTTGCTCATCACCCTCTTCCCACCTGGACCAGCCTCCTCCAGTTCCACATGGCCATCAATGGCCCGGCCATTCTCCTGTGAGCCGCTGGGACAGGGCAGAGGGGTAGTGCCATCATCCACCTCTCCAACAGCTACAGTCACTCTAGCTTCAAAGTCTCTCTTATGGGAGACTTGCAATAAATTACTCTGTAAGCCTCAGTTTCTTCTGTTGAATCAGGGGTGGGGGGATAATACCCACAGCCTAGGGTTTTAAGGGTACAAGAAAAGGGCCTAGCACGAAGCCTGGCACGGAGTCAGCTTCTTCCCTGAAAACACCCCCCTTCCTCATGGCCCCTCACAGGCATGCATCCCGGACTCTCCCCTGTGGCTCCCATTAGCTTGAATTGGAACTGAACCCCACACCTCTCCTTCACGGCGGCCTAAACTCTTCCTTCTTCAGACGAGCCACTTCGTTCCTTCCTTAAATAAGCATTCATTGAGCATTTACTATGCTCTTGGCCCAGAAAGACAAGAAAGATCTCGTGCCTGCCCCTTAAGAAGGTTGCAATCCAATTCGAGGTGGATCTACAGGGATTGGGTAAAGGAGTTTTGCACACAGCCTTCGGAATCAGATCTGTGCTCAGATCCTGTGCCTACCACTCATTTAGCCTCGGTTTCCTCACACAAAAAACAGGAATACCACCACCTGCTTCACAGAGCTGATGTGCAGATTAAGTGTGATGATACGTGCTGTTCCATGTTTGAAAGGCTGTATATAATCAGTGCTCAGTAATACTTTTCATCTTAAAGGCAAATAACTGTAACAGACTATATTGGATGAAGACTTCACTGCTTTGATCAAGTAATGGCTGGTTTACTTGCTTCTGCCTCACTCACTAGAGAGGGCAGACAACAGTAAATGACTGTTGAACGAATACACAACTGAGGTGCTACAGGAGAGGCCCATAGGGACCCCGAAGAGGAAAGGCATCAGAGAAATTGATCTTTGAGGGCCTGGCCCCACCCCTCCGGGATCCCAGGTCATTTTACCACATTCTGATTGTAATTACCTGTTTGCTGACACCCTCACTAACGTGAGCTCTCTCTAACCCTGGGGCTATTCTCCAGGCTGCAGCAGGGCAAAGGCGGGGTCCCAACACCATAGAGAACGCCACCCCTGTCCAAGCTGTCCCCTACTTCACCTTTTCTTGGAGCGGTCCTTCCAAACTCGCCCCGATTTGGGCTTCCCCTTCGGGATTACAGGAAGCTCCTCTTTGTTCAACTTCTTGGACGCTGGGGCCTGGGATGAAGAACCTTTTCGCTTCTTTGCCCCGAGGCCGCCTGTCACCGTCTCCCCAGCTGGAGGTGGCTTGCTCGGCTCATGCTGACCCTGCGGGGAGCCAGGTGCCTTGGGTGTCAGCTCCAGTAGTGGCTGAGAGGGCTCCGGACCGGGAGCTTGCTGACCGGGGTAAGGCTCTGGTGATCCTGGGCCCGGCGGTAGCTGATGCTGGGGGGCCCCCGGGGTCAGCTCCTCCTTACTCTGGGCCAACTCCGAGGCCAGTACTCCCTGGTCCTGAGAACACTTTGATGCCTCCTCACTTGACTTCGGCTGACATCGTGGGGATTCAGGACGGGACTCCGGCTGTCTTTGAGGCGACTCCAGGTGTAGGTCTTGCTGACGCTGGGGGGACCCTGGGCCTGGCTCTGGCTGCACTTGGGGGGACTCCAAGCCTGCACCCTGTTGCAGACGGGGTGATCCTGGGCTTGTCTCCGGCGGTCTTTCCGGGGACCCCAGGCCAGCTTGCTGCACACTAGGAGGAGACCCAGGCTCCCTCGTTTCTTCTGGGTTCGACTGCAACTCCACAAGGGCCCGTCTCACCCGCGAAACTGAGGTGAGGCTCTCGGGGGATTCGGGCCTTAGGCCTCCCAGCCGTCGGCTGCGCCTTAGCGGTGTATCCATGCCTCAGCGGGTAAGTTTCCACACCCCTGCACACGTGCAGACCCCGCCGACAACCGGCGCCTTCCTATGACGTCATGAGTCGCCACGTCCGTGACGCGCAGGAGGGGCTGTTGCTGAGGCGGCCGTGTTGGTGAGGGATGCAGAGGCGGGACTGGGAGTGGGTGGGGTGGGGCTCAGCATGCGCATGCGCAATTCGCGCGGGCTTCGTTAAGTGATTGATGAGCCAGTCTTTTTTTCTAGGATTCGCTTTCGCCTTTCTTGCAAAGTTTCCTGGGGAAAGAAGAGCGAGCAAGTAGGAAAGGGAAAGTGGGAGGACCCATTTCAGGGAGAGAACAGAGTTGAAAAAAGGTCCGAGGAGCCTTAGGCAAGGCCCGATGGAAGTTTTGTGGCCAACTCCGGTGCAGTTGGGCAGGGTCCTGCCCTCCTTGGGCCTGTTTTCTCATTTGTAATATGGGTCATTTTGCACTAGCTTCGTGCATCCCAAATGACCCTGTCGGAGTCCTTCTCCCAGCAGCCTGAGGGAATGCTACCTGGGGGTCGTGGAGGTGGAAGATCGGTCTTTTACTGTGTTAATTGTTCACACTCTTGCTTCTCCCGTCCTGTGCTTCAGTATATAATCCATGGCTCTCACTTTTCAGCCTTTTCAACGTCTATGAGTGAAGCTGAGGTACCAATAAGATGCAGCACCTTTGTCCTGTGGCTCACCTGGGCCCTCGACCAGCTGCGTACGCTCCCACGTCCCTCTTCTTCTGCCCCAGTTCTAGAAACAGGTTGGATCATCTCTGATCTTCCTTTCAGCCCAGACAGTGGTTTTTGCCCGTGTGTCAACCTGCCTCGCCTCCCCTTCCTTCCCTTGCTATTCAACTGTAAATGTACTTTGCTTACTGAGCACTTTGGGACCTCACCAGTGAGCAGGTGTTGCCTTCTGGACCTCCCAGGGCCTAGAGAAGACTTTGGGGATGTGGGATTGGGAAATGTCGGGCTGTGTAGACCCTTCCTGTGAGACCTAGGAGTGAGGCTTTGATTTTCTTACAGCATGCTTCTTAGGAAGAACATCTTGGAAGCGGCCCAGTTGCGTGATTATTGGGACTGCCTGGGGTTGGCTATTAGAGGTCCCAGGGCCCCTGTCCGACATTCCAGTGGTTTCTTTTGAAACCATTCCATTGTTTCTCCAGCTGGGGGCTTGCGAGAGGGCCTGGGAAATTGTCCAAGAATATCAGGAGTCAGAGTGTCCTCAACTTCCTCATGTTCCCGAGCTAAGGAGGGAAAGAAGAGCGAGCAAGTAGGAAAGGGAAAGTGGGAGGACCCATTTCAGGGAGAGAACAGAGTTGAAAAAAGGTCCGAGGAGCCTTAGGCAAGGCCCGATGGAAGTTTTGTGGCCAACTCCGGTGCAGTTGGGCAGGGTCCTGCCCTCCTTGGGCCTGTTTTCTCATTTGTAATATGGGTCATTTTGCACTAGCTTCGTGCATCCCAAATGACCCTGTCGGAGTCCTTCTCCTGCCTCACTCACTAGAGAGGGCAGACAACAGTAAATGACTGTTGAACGAATACACAACTGAGGTGCTACAGGAGAGGCCCATAGGGACCCCGAAGAGGAAAGGCATCAGAGAAATTGATCTTTGAGGGCCTGGCCCCACCCCTCCGGGATCCCAGGTCATTTTACCACATTCTGATTGTAATTACCTGTTTGCTGACACCCTCACTAACGTGAGCTCTCTCTAACCCTGGGGCTATTCTCCAGGCTGCAGCAGGGCAAAGGCGGGGTCCCAACACCATAGAGAACGCCACCCCTGTCCAAGCTGTCCCCTACTTCACCTTTTCTTGGAGCGGTCCTTCCAAACTCGCCCCGATTTGGGCTTCCCCTTCGGGATTACAGGAAGCTCCTCTTTGTTCAACTTCTTGGACGCTGGGGCCTGGGATGAAGAACCTTTTCGCTTCTTTGCCCCGAGGCCGCCTGTCACCGTCTCCCCAGCTGGAGGTGGCTTGCTCGGCTCATGCTGACCCCGCGGGGAGCCAGGTGCCTTGGGTGTCAGCTCCAGTAGTGGCTGAGAGGGCTCCGGACCGGGAGCTTGCTGACCGGGGTAAGGCTCTGGTGATCCTGGGCCCGGCGGTAGCTGATGCTGGGGGGCCCCCGGGGTCAGCTCCTCCTTACTCTGGGCCAACTCCGAGGCCAGTACTCCCTGGTCCTGAGAACACTTTGATGCCTCCTCACTTGACTTCGGCTGACATCGTGGGGATTCAGGACGGGACTCCGGCTGTCTTTGAGGCGACTCCAGGTGTAGGTCTTGCTGACGCTGGGGGGACCCTGGGCCTGGCTCTGGCTGCACTTGGGGGGACTCCAAGCCTGCACCCTGTGGCAGACGGGGTGATCCTGGGCTTGTCTCCGGCGGTCTTTCCGGGGACCCCAGGCCAGCTTGCTGCACACTAGGAGGAGACCCAGGCTCCCTTGTTTCTTCTGGGTTCGACTGCAACTCCACAAGGGCCCGTCTCACCCGCGAAACTGAGGTGAGGCTCTCGGGGGATTCGGGCCTTAGGCCTCCCAGCCGTCGGCTGCGCCTTAGCGGTGTATCCATGCCTCAGCGGGTAAGTTTCCACACCCCTGCACACGTGCAGACCCCGCCGACAACCGGCGCCTTCCTATGACGTCATGAGTCGCCACGTCCGTGACGCGCAGGAGGGGCTGTTGCTGAGGCGGCCGTGTTGGTGAGGGATGCAGAGGCGGGACTGGGAGTGGGTGGGGTGGGGCTCAGCATGCGCATGCGCAATTCGCGCGGGCTTCGTTAAGTGATTGATGAGCCAGTCTTTTTTTCTAGGATTCGCTTTCGCCTTTCTTGCAAAGTTTCCTGGGGAAAGAAGAGCGAGCAAGTAGGAAAGGGAAAGTGGGAGGACCCATTTCAGGGAGAGAACAGAGTTGAAAAAAGGTCCGAGGAGCCTTAGGCAAGGCCCGATGGAAGTTTTGTGGCCAACTCCGGTGCAGTTGGGCAGGGTCCTGCCCTCCTTGGGCCTGTTTTCTCATTTGTAATATGGGTCATTTTGCACTAGCTTCGTGCATCCCAAATGACCCTGTCGGAGTCCTTCTCCCAGCAGCCTGAGGGAATGCTACCTGGGGGTCGTGGAGGTGGAAGATCGGTCTTTTACTGTGTTAATTGTTCACACTCTTGCTTCTCCCGTCCTGTGCTTCAGTATATAATCCATGGCTCTCACTTTTCAGCCTTTTCAACGTCTATGAGTGAAGCTGAGGTACCAATAAGATGCAGCACCTTTGTCCTGTGGCTCACCTGGGCCCTCGACCAGCTGCGTACGCTCCCACGTCCCTCTTCTTCTGCCCCAGTTCTAGAAACAGGTTGGATCATCTCTGATCTTCCTTTCAGCCCAGACAGTGGTTTTTGCCCGTGTGTCAACCTGCCTCGCCTCCCCTTCCTTCCCTTGCTATTCAACTGTAAATGTACTTTGCTTACTGAGCACTTTGGGACCTCACCAGTGAGCAGGTGTTGCCTTCTGGACCTCCCAGGGCCTAGAGAAGACTTTGGGGATGTGGGATTGGGAAATGTCGGGCTGTGTAGACCCTTCCTGTGAGACCTAGGAGTGAGGCTTTGATTTTCTTACAGCATGCTTCTTAGGAAGAACATCTTGGAAGCGGCCCAGTTGCGTGATTATTGGGACTGCCTGGGGTTGGCTATTAGAGGTCCCAGGGCCCCTGTCCGACATTCCAGTGGTTTCTTTTGAAACCATTCCATTGTTTCTCCAGCTGGGGGCTTGCGAGAGGGCCTGGGAAATTGTCCAAGAATATCAGGAGTCAGAGTGTCCTCAACTTCCTCATGTTCCTGAGCTAAGGAGACCCCTGCAGGGGGACTTCGCCTGCCTTGCTACTCCTCCCCTGCCATGCAGCTGTCCACAGGAGAAGCAGCTGGGACACCTCGCCCAGCTCTTCCACCCCCCAACTGTCAGAGGAGTGAGTTCCATTCAGTTCCTTAAATGCCCTGCCCCTGCCTAGAGATCCCAATGATCCGACACTCAAAACCAAGCCTGGCAGGCATTGCCAGGGTGCTGGAGGAGACTGTATGCCCCTCTGCCCTGCTCCAGTCCCCCTAGGCTTGCCCTGCCTCCTAAGCTCTTGTCCCCAGCTGGAGGGATCACTCTCCAGTGCCGACTGGATCATATCCTAGTCTAACCTGAAATACTTCAGAGTGATCTCAGGTTTTCACCAGAGAGAGGGAGATGTTTTTCAGAGGAGGCCTTGGGGTGTCCCCCTGACATTTGGAAGCACTTTGTCAACCTCAGCATCAGGTGGGCTCTGGCCCAGAACCCCCTACTCCCACCTGAGCTCAGTTTGTCATTGTCATTATACATGGTGTGCAGAGGCCTTGAGTAGACTCCTGAAATTTTCAGAAGAGCCTGGTGTGGTGGTTGCTGTTGGGACCCTGTCCCCTTACACTCCTTTGCTTTCTTTTAAAAATTATTAATTTTGAGACAGGGTCTTGCTCTGTTGTCCAGGCTGGAGTGCAGTGGCACAATCACAGCTCACTGCAGCCTTGACCTCTGAGGCCCCAGGGAATCCTCCTGAGCCTCCTGAGTAGCTGGCACCACAGGCTCATGCCACCATGCCGGGCTGTTTTTAGTTTTTGCAGAGACAGGGTCTCCCTGTGTTGCTCAGGCTGGTCTTGAACTCCTGGGCTCAAGTGATCCTCCTGCCTCGGCCTCCCAAAGTGTTGGGATTACAGGCATGAGCCACTGTGCCTGGCCGCTCCTTTGCTTTTATTGCAGCTTTCTACATCCCAGCTTTCTTGCCTTTGGGTGGTAGGATACTGAGGGGCTTCTCTGCAGCCCCCAGAGTCCCCCAGCAGGATTGAACTTGTATTGCCCACAAAGGTAACCTGCTCATGCACCCTCTTTTGGCTTCATCCCTGTCTCATTTCCCCATTTTCTTATAGATGCTTGCTGGGGTCATTTTCAGAGGAGTCAAATATTGTACTTAATCCTCTTCTCAGAGTTGGCTTCTGGAGAAAGCTAGCCCGAAACACTGGTGCCGGCCATGATTGGTCCAGGCATTGTTTCAAGCACTCTGCAAGTACAAATCCATTTCTTAATGCTTCTCCCAACAATCCTGTGAGGCAGGTACAGTTGTTATTACTCCCATTTCACAGATAAAGAAACTGAGAGGCTGAGTGTGGTGGCTCACATCTGTAATCCCAGTACTTTGGGAGGCCGAGGCAGGCGGATCACTGGCGGCCAGGAGTTCAAGACCAGCCTGGCCAACATCCCAAAACCCCATCTCAACTGAAAGTACAAAAATTAGCTGGGCATGGTGGCAGGCACCTCGAGTCCCAGCTACTCAGGAGGCTGAGACAGGAGAATTGCTTGAACCTGGGAGGTAGAGGTTGCAGTGAACCGAGATCATGCCACTGCACTCCAACCTGGGTGACAGAGCAAGACTCTGTCACAAAAAAAAAAAAAAAAAAAAGAGAGAGAGAGAGAGAAAGAGAGAGAAAGAAACGAAAAGACTGAGGCACAGAGAGGCTGAGACACTTGTAAAGTTCACACAACAAATAAGTGGTGGAAGCAAAATCCATACCTAGACTGTCTGATTCCAGAGCCACAACTCTTAGCAGTAAATCTGCCTATTACCCAGGCAAGGAAACAGGCATGGGAAGGCTAAGGTGCTTGCCCCAAATCAGACGCGACACATTCAGGAGCCAGGATTGTGGTTCCAGAGGTGGCATGCTTAGCTGCCTTGCAGCTGCCCCCACGTGGGCCCTGCTCACCTATTCCTCACCCTGATCCTGGTCTGTGTGCTGGGAGGTGCTGGGTACCACCTGGCACACACCATCGTGCAGAATGTGCCAAATCAGCAATACCAGCTTTTTTATGTAACCTGAGATCTGCCGACTGACGGAAACCAAGCGCTGGCAGATGGACGGAAGATAGGGATCAGGTGTTCTCCTCTGAGTCATTGACCTCCCCTCAGCTAAGGGGTGCTGCGGTTGAGAGGGTCTGACAGTTCCCAGATGTCAGGGACCTGGGTCCCCAAGGCTCTCTGTTCAACACCTCGCCTTGCCTGTGATCTCAGGTTTTCGCCAGAGAGAGGGAGGTGTGTTTTAGAGGAGGCCTTTGGGTGGGTCCCCAAACACTTGGAGGCACTTTGTCAGCCTCAGCATCAGGTGGGCTCTGGCCCAGAACCGCCTACTCCCACCTGAGCTCAGTTTGTCATTGTCATTATACGTGGTATGCAGAGGCCCAGAGGTGACTCCTGAAATTTTCAGAAGAGTCTGGTGTGGTGGTGTACTTGCAGAGCGCTTGAAACAATGCCTGGACCAATCACTGCTTGCCCCAGTGTTTCAGGCTGGGTTTCTCCAGAAGCCAACTCTGAGAGAAGGACAGGGAAAGGGCCCTGGCGGTCACCGGCAGCGTTAACTGAGCACTTACCATGCATTGTTTCAAGCACTCTGCAAGTACAAATCCATGTCTTAATGCTTCTCCCAATAATCCTGTGAGGCAGGTGCAGTTGGTATTACTCCCATTTTACAGATAAACTGAGAGGCTGGGTGCGGTGGCCCACGTCTGTAATCCTAGTACTTTGGGAGGTCGAGGCAGGTGGATCACTGGATGCCGGGAGTTCAAGACCAGCCTGGCCAATTCAACATGTTTTTTTGATTTTACTGACCAGCCTCTGGTTCGGGAGGGTGATGTTCAGCAGGAGCACGGTGCTCGATATGTGTTTGTTGAATGAATCTATCCTCATTATGACCTTACAGGGCTGGGGTGATCATCCTCATTTTACTGACCAGGAAATCCCACTCCCAGAGAGGCTGCGCTTCAGGGCCAGGGTGACGCAAGGAGAGGGCGCAGGGTGAAGTCCGGAGCTCAGGGCTTCTTGACTCTAAGCCCTAAACCTCCACCTCCACCAGGCCCAGGACTGGGACATGGGGCCGACTCAGTCTGGGGTGTCATTGGCAACCAGGATGTTGCTGAGCATGGCAGGAGTGAAGGCAGGACCCAGATGCACGGAGGTGCAATTGGGCCTCAGCTAATCTTCATTGTGCTGCAAGGATCCAAGCTGCTCTGTCTTTCGCTCAGAGCTCTCTCAAATATTTGAAGTCAGTTTTCTTGTAGCTTTTCCAGAATTGTCTTTTATCCAGGTTAAGCATCTCCTGTTCCTCCCATAACATGATAAGTCTTTGGGAAAGACACCAGTTCTCTACAATGCTTCCAGAATGTGGGGCCCAGAGCTCCTTCTGGCACTAAGGTTAACTGCCCCATGGACAGCTGAGTGGATTTGTCACCTCCCTCCTCCATGATCTGTATCAGTGTGGCCAAGATTGCATTCAAGCCATCCCATGGACATCTGATTGAAACCCTCAGTCTGGTTCCCGCCACTGTCAGGCTCCCTTGCTCCCAGCACCTCCTTGCTCTGATCTTGGACATGAACTGTTGGCTTTCTTGGATAGTGCAGGATTCTTCATCTGTCCCTGTTGCATTTTGTTTTTACCTCTCTGGGAGTCCAGCTCGCCTCCTTCAGTAGTTACCCCACTTTCTCTTTTGCATGTGTGAAGAGCTGCTTCTAGGTACCTTGAATCAGGTGCCACTGAGAACATGGAACAGGACCAGAGTGATTGTGTGAGTTCTTATCGTGTGTGCTTATCTCAGAGGCTCATCTGTGCTGCACGCTTCCAACAGCTCACTATCAGTTTCAGGTC